TACATATCTTGGGGCTTCTTCCACTGGGGCATTAGCCACAGGTAAACCACTCTCCATCTCAACATCGTACCAGTCCAAGTATAAACGCTCAAGCATTTGCAACCTGAGCGGAGGAAACTCTTTTTTCGAATACATACATCTGTGGCTTATTCTGTTTCAAAAGCCTGTTCTCCCACTGCTCAGTACACCGAATCCACAAGGAAAGTTCCCCCTTGACGTAAAAAAAAAAAAAAAAACAGAGCCAAAGGGGAACTAGCAAAAAGCTATTCAAATTAAAGTAGTAGTAAAATTATCTTGAGCCTTTACGTGAAGGAAAGGATAACTCAACCGCACCCCCCTCAAAATGAGCGATGTAAGAAGATATAGGTTGTGATAATATATAAGGAGGGAGTTAAAGCCCCCTCCCTACACAAGCACCACTTGCTTGTTCACGTGTTGTGTACGTCATCTTCCTCCCTCCGGACAGTTGCTACACCATGTGATGTGTGAGAGGAGGAGAAATCATTTTTGTCACTTTGTTCCTTGTTCCGTTTGTTAAACTGTGGAATGGGGAACCCCAATAAGGGTTACACACGGGGGTGGTAAAGACCATGTGCATAGTACATACATATATATATGTTTTTTTTCGCTCGTATCAGGTAATTGTACCGCGGAGCTTTCGCCTGCTGGACGAGCTGGAGCGAGGGCAGAAGGGAAACGTCAGTGAAGGAGTGTCTTTCGGATTGGAGAGTGCTGATGACATTACTCTTTCAAATTGGTCCTGCACGATATTTGGGCAGCCGGGGACTGTGTTCGAAAACAGGATTTATTCGCTGACCATATTTTGTGGAGACAGCTATCCTGACGCGCCCCCCACGGTCAAGTTTGACACGAAGATTGAGATGTCCTGCGTGGACAGCGCCGGCCGGGTGAGTCCTTTGGATCTGATGGGCGTCTCACTAAACGATATAATAATTAGCCTGCTTGACGTAATTATTTGAAAATTTTTTTTTTTTTTTTTTTTTTCTGCTACACAGGTCGTTAAGAATAATTTGCAGATTTTAAAAAATTGGAACAGGAACTACACCATCGAAACGATTTTAATCGCGCTCAGACAGGAGATGCTCTCGAGTGTGAACAACAGGTTGCCGCAGCCCAACGAGGGAGAAATGTACTGACTCGAATGAAGTCCATTCTATTTGTCCTGGCGCAGTGGGCGGACAGGGAGCAGGTCCATACACGGTGAACGTAGAACAAGAGAAAGGGTTCGAAATTGTAGAGCATAAATGGGGAAAACAACACCCCCTCTTTGCAAGTCCCGCCCGATTATTTTAACGCCAACAGGAATTCACCAATTTGTTCGATGAAAACTTGTTAAATGTGAATGTGTTTTTTTTTTTTTTTTTTT